AAACATCGGAACAACAATTGGTTGCAAGACATCATCACGGTAGGCTACAGCATTAACGCGGCCCCTGCAAATGTGTAGGGCGGTCCGGTGATGAAATGTGAAGCCTCCCCACACCATTACACTTCCCCCACCCCATCGATTCGTTTCGAAGACGCAGCAGTCTGCAAGACGTTCCCCAAGACGTCTCCACACACGTTGACGGCCATCAGCGTGATAAAGATGAAAGCGACTCTCATCACTGAAGAGCACATTTTGCCAGTCTTCTCTTCTCCATGTCTGGTGTCCTTGAGCCCATATCAATCGCCGCTGACGGTGAGGATAGCTCCAACATAAGGTCGTCGTGCACGGAGTCCTACTTCTCTTGGACGACGTCTTACGGTGTTGGCACTTACTGGTCCTTGTCTTCCGACGACTGCTGCACCTGTTCGAGTCGCTGGGTGGAATCTGTCACGCAGATGAGTGACCCGGATGTAGCGGTCTTGAGCCTGGGTTGTAACGCGTTGTGGACCAGGACGTTGACGGTCACGTGTTGATCCAGTAACTCGAACACGTTCCACCAACCTTACAATAGTGGTCTGGAAATAACACGTGTAGACATCTCAGCCCTGGACATTCCCATGGCTTCATTCCGTTGATTTTCAGTAAGTCTCGGCATCTCTAGCTCGACTCCTTCACACGTCCAACAACAAAATACGACAGATTGACGTTTCACAGTTCATGTACTGCACATTAAGTTGAAAACATGCTTTTAAAGGGCTCACACACAATGCTGCACGTGAATATTGGATTTTTTTATGTGCATCTTATGCAATTTTTTTTTTGCACACGGGCCGATATTTTTTTGCGTTTGGGAGCATTGTGTGAAACAATAGTTCATAGTATTGCATAATATTATACATACAAAACCACCTAGTAATAAAATATTTGGGAAAAAAAAGTGATGCGTTTTCCATGGCGTTCAGTAGCATGCGTTTTTATTTTTAATAAACAAAATGTATCATTCTCTAGGTCAGGGACGAATGAGCGGACTCCTTTCATCGTGGAGCCACGGTGGCTAGGTAGTTAAGGCGCTGGCTCGCTAGCCTTGAGGTCGGGTGTTCGATCCCTGCATTGGCCGAGAGAGTTCATCCCGATTTTCCGACGTGGGTTCCCCTTGTCAGTGATGCAGGACAGAGGGCCTGACAAGGACAGCTGTCTAGTCCTTCGGATGAGACGAAAAACCGAGGTCCCGTGTAAACATTGGAATGCACGTTAAAGATCCCTTGGCAGTTGGAATTCGATATAAGAGTAGGCGATAGTGCCGCTGCCCGGGCAAAATTTCCCTCATAGCACACTGTATGGCGTATGTCCGTCTTCATTAGCCCAGTATAGGAGCAGAACAGTAGGACGTTAAACCCCATTTCATTTCATTTCATTTCATTTCCTTTCATCGCATGCATATGAAAGCCTATTGCGGCCATTTCAGAATCGCGAGAAGTCGAGAGCGAGAACACGAGGGAGCGAGAAGTCGAGGGCGAGAGAGCGAGAACACGAGGAAACAGGGCGAGAATGCGAGGATCTCGCCCCGAGAACGCGAAATTATTTTCACCTCGACTTCTCCGAGTTCTCGCTCCCTCGCCCCTCGACTTCTCGTTCCCTCGTGTTCTCGCCTTTGAACATCCTCGTGTTCTTGCACTCTCGCCCTCGACTTCTCGTTCCCTCATGTTCTCGCCTTTAAAAATCGTCGACTTCTCGCTCCCTCGCGTTCTCGCCTTTGAGTTAATCTCGTCCTCTCGTGTTCTCGCTCCCTCGCTTCGTCACTGCAATCTCGACTTCTCGTCTTCTCGCCTCGGAAGTGCAGTTTATGTGCATGTCCACTGACTACCGTATCGGCATTTATATTTCGACATGGATTCAAATAGACGGAATTGTTTGTAGTTCTAGAAAAGTTAATAGTCCTAAGCAATTTTAATTTCTTCTTGCACAGATAGGATTGTATTCTGTAATCGATTTTAAGTCTTCAGTCGAATCTTTCTTTGGTCTCTAACTTCATCAACGTTCATCGGGTTTTTTGATGCGTGGTCTTGTCAGTGCTGTAGGACGGAGATCCTGACAAGGGACAACGTATAGTCGTTCGATTGGGATTTTAAAAAAAAAACCCGAGGTCCCGTGTCGGGAATGAAGTTGGTTCTACTGTGGCTTAGTGAGTAGGACGATTGCTCCCCTAACTTCATCAAAGTGCATCGGGATTTTTCTAAAGATATCCACCCTTGTCAGTTGTGTAGGACGGAGGGCAACGGACAAAAAACGGGGTCCCGTGTACACATTGGCGTGTGGGAAGGGTTGGGTCCGTCATTGATTCAAGTGGCTCGGTTTCGATTTGCCGCTTGAATGTGACAATTATTAAGGTCGTCTGTCCAACCGTGTGTGTTTTCTCCCGATTCTCCAGGTTTCCGCCACTGCTAAAGACCCCTAAACGCAAGCAAATCATTGAAATAAAATTGTTAGTCTCGGAATGACCTGGTTTGTGTCGAGTTTATTTCTCTCCCTATCTCTTTTTCACACACATTGGCGTCCACGTACAAGAACCCTTTACCGTGGGAATTCGAAATAAGAGTAGGCCCTCGTAGCACACTGCATGGCGTATATTCGCTTTCATTAGCTCAGTTGGAGAAGAACAGTATGGTTTTTGGTAGCCAAATGGTTAACGCGTTCGCATTTGATCATAAGGACTGACATTGAATCAACTGACGGTATCGAGGTATTGATTCCTCGCTTGTACGTGACAAGGGGTGGGTCCCTGCCCAACCCTGTGGGTTTTCTCCGGATCCTCCGGTTTCCTCCTACTGTTAAAGACCCTTTAGGTGTTTTTTGATTTAGCGTGGACGTACCTTTGTTTACTGAAACCACGAACTTCACCTCGAATCCGGATTTCGAAAAATCAACAAAGAAGGCTCCTGAAAGTGTGCAGTCTAGTAGTTGATTTTTTTATATGCGTGCATGCATGCATGTATGCATGTATGTATGTATGTACGCTTCGTGGCCATGAGAACTTTGCGGTGATATCTATATAAATAAAATCAAAGTGTGTATGGGTGCATTTTCTCCAATCACGCTTCTTCGCCGGGCGAATTTGGACCCGTGTAATATTGAGCATGCTGCCACCAAAGCTGGTTTAAATACTTTTTGATGCACGTTCCCTTTTCTGTGTGCTCACTTTGTCTAGTGTGCGACATTTTAGTGTGTGTAAAGTCATGACTTAATGTGGTTATTTTTGACTAGTACTTATATTATGTATTTTAATACATAATTATGTCTTAAAACGTTATTTTCTAATACAAAGGTAACAATTATTATCGGTTTTTATTGACGTTCGAAATGAAATGAGAGGGGGGTGGGGATGAATGGTGTTGAACGTCCACTCGACAAATCAAGCAATTTCAGGATTAATAATTTGTTTGCGCGTAGCGGTCTTTTAACAGTTTTTTTTTGGGGGGGGGGGGGGACATGGAGAAAACCCTACACCTTGTCACATGTAATCGGGGGATCGAAACAGAGCCCCCCACCCCCCCACACACACAGGCCCCCACACACATTACCACCACGTCAATGTGTACACCTGACCTCGGTTTTTCATGCCATCCGAACGACATGCTGTCCCTAGGCCTTCCGTCCCACACCACTGACAAGGGGATACCTCGACAGAAAAGTTCCGACTACGCACTGAACCACCGCAGCTCCCATTTCATTTCGAATCTGGACACAGGACCTCGGTCATTTTTATCCCATCCTTCCTTCACCAGTGACAAGGGTAAACCCCTCCAGAAAAATTCCGATGATGAAATGAAATGAAATAGGGTCTAAGGTCCGACTGGTCTGCTCCGACTGGACTAATGAAGACGGACATACGCCATACAGTGTGCTATGAGGGAAATTGTGCCCGGGCAGCAGCACCAAGGCCTCTTCTTATATCGAATTCCAACGGCCAAGGGATCTTTTACGTACACGCCAATTTATAACCTCAGTTTTTTGCCCCATCCGAACAACTAGACAACTGTCCTTGCCAAGCCCTCCGTCCTGCACGACTGACAAGCGGAAACCACGTCGGAAAACCCCGGTGAACTTTCTCGGCCAATGCAGGGATCGAACACGTGACCTCCAGTTTAGTGAGCCAGCGTCTTACCCACTTAGCCACCGTTGCTCCGAACTTTAATGATGTTAGAGAGCAAACGTCCTACTCACTGAGTCACCCTAGCTCCCACTTCATTTCGATTCCGGACACGGGACCTCGTTTGTTAATGCCATCCGAACGACCATAAGTGGTCACTTGCCAGGTCTTTCCTCCTACACCACTGAAGAAAGAGAGCAAACGTCCAACTCACTGACCCACCGTAGCTCCTACTTCATTTAGATTCCGGACACGGGACCTCGGTTATTTTTATTCCATCCGAACGATTATACGTTGTCTCTTGCCAGGCTCTCCGTCCTACGCCACAGACAAGGGTAGACACGGGACCCCGTTTTTTGTCCCATCCGAACGACTACACGTTATCCGTTGCCAGGCTCCCCGTCTTCCGTCCTACAGAATACAATACTATCTGTGCAAGAAGAAATTAAAATTGTTTATGACTATTAAATAATAATTCCGTCTATTTGAATCCATGTCCAAATATAAATTCCGATACGGTAGTCAGTGGACATGCGCATAAACTGCATTTCCGAGGCGAGAACACGAGAAGTCGAGATTGTGACGAAGCGAGGGAGCGAGAACACGAGAGGACGAGCTTAATTCAAAGTCGAGGAATTTCAAAGGCGAGAATACGAGGGAGCGAGAAGTCGAGGGCGAGAGTGCAAGAACACGAGGATTTTCTCGCGGCGAGAAGTCGAGATTTTGAAATGGCCGCAATAGGCTTCCATACATTCATTTCTAAGTAAGAAAACTTCATTGACATATTTTCCCCGTTAATCATATACTTTAAAACCCATTTCTATAAATAGCACTTCACGTCACAATAACATAATGAAAGTGAAACTCACGTCACAATAACTTATGAAACATGTGAAGGAAACATTTCAGTTGGATTAAATTTGATGAAGAACGACTCAATTACCTAAAATAAGTAAGTACATATAAATGATTTCTTATTGAACTTATATACACAGCGTGTTATAATGATGTTACTATAGATTTGCGGTCCTAAGTCTCACTATACAGGAAAATCTTACTTCGGTGATATTTATTGTCTTAAATTATTCGTAAGTTTCGGGACAAGTACAGATCTTTATTTCAAATAATCCAGTGAATATGTATTAAAATGCGAACTAAGACCACCAAACTTTGCGGTAATGCCTGATGGGTATCGATCGTATCATAAGGGACCGGTATACTTTGTACTGGGCTAGAATGTTCTAGGATTTTTCAGTTCGCTTGCCTCGTCGTTCGGGTGGTATGAAAAGTTTGCTGTTGGGGCAAAAGTCTCCCTCGCATTTAACATATGACCGTAAGTAAACGAAATAATAGTCTATATTATATACAACGACCGAAGTAGTTTGTTAACGAAACACAATAAACCCTAATCCATTTCATTGAATAATAAACAGGTCGAACACGGAAGGTATATATTATGTGATAATAGTTTTATGTACATGTGTACAGGGGTAATGTTCCAAGTTCAGTTAGATACAGGATACAATCTTAAACTTGTAAGATAAGCTATGTATTCATTTTATTTGATAGTGTTGTATTACCCCATGATAAACTATATCTATATTAAAACACGATCGATCAATAGTTAACATACGTTCTGCCTTGTCTATAAATTTACCACACCAATAGCCTAATTAGGATTATTTACAAGATTTATATGAATTAAACTATTTTGCAATGAACTACACCCATGGCGTAATAGAGAATCTGGGGCCTTTGTTGAAGTGTGCCATGTTTGTTTATATTGATATTTGAAAGACTGGATGTTGGTTGGTCATTTATTTCCTCTTATTATATGGTGCTGGTCTGTTGGTACCTTTCAAGAATATGGTATAATAGGAGACAGTGTTGCATTGATTTTTTTATTATCGTCGTCACAGTCTGCCCGTCGCGTCCGTACGTCGTATCTGGAAACGAGAGAGAGAGAGTGGGAGAGAGAGAGAAATGAGGTTTAACGTCAACTCGACACAAATTAGGTAATTTCGGGACTAACATATGGTTTAATTTTATTTCAATAATTCGCTTGCTAGTAGTGGTCTTTGACAGTGGGGGGAAACCGGAGGACCCGGAGAAAACCCACGCGGTTGGACAGGCGACCCTACTCCTTGTCACATACAACCGGGAAATCGAAAGCACGCCAGTTGACTCAATGACAGACCTTATGATACAGCGCGCACGTGCTAACCATTCGGCCATCCACCCCCTGTCTGAAAACGAATAATTGGTGCCAGAATTATGACCATTGATCACTTTCATAAATCTCATGGATGCTCTAGAGGCTAAACTGTTTATCTGATTGTAAATTTGTACACATTGTTTATAATCGTGAGAAGAATGAGCCTAATGATATTAAGCGATTTTCGATGTTAATGTTATGAGACGATGAAGCCTATTTCCGAGCCAGAGTTATGGCCTTTGATCACTTGAAAACATCTTGTGGTCGCTCTAGAGACCAAAGTTATCACCCCATTGACTTTAAATGTATACAGTATTTAAAGTCATGAGGCGAAGAAGCCTAGCTGTCTATTTCAACGATTTGCGATAGTTGGTGTTGGACCCTTGATCTCTTTAAATAAATCGACACCGAATTGCATGGTATACGGAGAACCGGGTCGCTACCCCATAGCAATAGATATTAAAACTAGAGCTATAAGCTTTTGGGCTAAACTACTGACTGGTAAACCTTCTAAAATATCAATTATCATGTACAAACTAATATATGAGAGATTTCTTAATGGTAACGTTTCAAATCCTTGGTTAAAATTTGTAAAATCTATATTTTTGATGAATGTGGTTTAAGCTATATTTGGACAACATAAAACTTTGTAAATGTATCCTGGTTAAAACACACAGTAAAATTAATACTCAAAGATCAATTTAAGCAAAACTGGCACTCTGATATAAATAGTTTCCCTAAATGTATAAATTACAAATTATTTAAAAGCGAATTGAAATTTGAACCATATTTACATAATTTACATGGCAAATCAAGAAATCTCTTATGCAGATTTAGAACAGGTAACTTAAAACTACCTATAGAGACCGGTAGATGGCTTGGTATTCCAAGACAACAGAGAACCTGCAATATCTGCACACTTGAACTTATAGGTGACGAGTTTCATTATATATTCGAATGTCCAACCCTAAGTGAACACAGAATTAACTTAATTCCTAAAATATAATAAAATTTAGAAATATTATTTCATTTTATAACCTATTTAATAATTATAAATATAGTACTTTAAATAGTTTATGTAAATTTATATTTATTATTCAACAGACATTAAACTCCCTTTCAACACATTGGATATTATATTCATGTTATTATTATGTTACTCCCCCATCAACTTAACGCATTGTATATATATTCTTTATGTTATTATTATTATGTTATATTAATTAGATTACACTATTTTTTTTCTCTACGCTGTTTATTGTAACGGTTATTTGGACGCTCTAAGATAACCAAATGTATCACACTGTGTTTAAGGTCATGAGAAAACGAAGTACATGTAAATGTATATTCATTTCCAGTGGTTGCCGATAAAAACTGCAAAAGTTATGGCCTTCATTTTCAATAATATCCGATAAATAGAACCGTTAAATTCGTGATATGACATGTTGTGTATACTAGACGTTAGCATGGGGAAGAACTAGAAGCCAACATTTTATAATGATTTCTAATAATTACTTAAACATACATTATGCAAGAGCTAAATCTGCCTATTGCAAGTCTTTCTTTGGACCTTAAATGTTTTCTAAATTATTAATTAGACATTAATTAACTTGTCTAAACCCATAATCAACCCTCGATATCATCGCTAGCCTGTGATGTTTATTGGATTAGATTCCGATTTGCTGTTCGTCTTCCATTCATAATTTAATCATGAAATGGATAATCGAGACTATGTATTTTATCGTACTGACTTTAGTAATGATGATCGAGGCTAGGCCTAAAATTCAATCGCTAAAATCTCGGTTCAGAGTAGATCAATTTGACTGAAATTTTCAGCAAATTCCCTTTACATTATCTAGTTTTTATACGCCCACATTGAAATGTGGTCGTATATTGTCGTCGCCCCGTCCGTCCGTCGGTCCGTCGGTCCAGCGTCCACAATAGCTTGTGGACGCTCTAGAGGCCAAAGTTAATATCTGATTGACTTTAAATTTATACACAGTGTTTAAGGTCTTGAGACGAAGAAGCCTATTGATTTTCAGCGATTTCCGATTATTACTGCCAGAGTTATGGCCCTTGATCACTTTGAAAAATCTTGTGGACACTCTAGTGGCCAAAGTTAATATCCGATTGACCTAAAATTGATACACAGTGTTTAAGGTCATGAGACGAAGAAGCATATTAATTTTCAGCGATTTCCGATAATTACTGCCAAAGTTAATATCCGATTGACTTTAAATTTATACACAGTGTTTAAAGTCATGAGACAAAGAATCCTATTGATTTTCAATGATTTCCGATAATTACTGCCAAAGTTATGGCCCTTAATCACTTTGTGACGCTCTATAAAGGCTAAAGTTATCATCCGATTGACTTCAGATTGATACACAGAGTTTAAGATGTTGAGACGAACAAGTATATTGATTTTCAATGGATTTTTATTTCTTGAACAGCTAAATGTTTTGTATACAAAACGTTAGCATGGGGCAGAACTTTATACAAACAAACAAATTCTAATGGTTTTCTGATAATTACTTCATGAGTTGTTGGTCTTAATCAGATTTTAGTGTATTATAAATGTTTCATTACCGAAAAAAGTAAAAATATGCAACAACTCTTGTTGACTGCCCGGGCGATTTAGCTGTTGTGGGCGTGTGTTTCGTTGCCTGGCAACCTATCTTTAACTATTATAGTGAGAACTGTTAGCTCTTTATCTAATCCCCCATAACGTATCTTTAATGAGTTGTTACTTTTAATCAGATTTTAGTGTTTTGTAAATGTTTTCATTATTGACAAAAAAATATGCTACAACCCAAGTTGACTGCACGGACGACTTTGGTTCTGTAGACGTATGTTACGTTGCATTGCAAACTATGTGTTATTTAGAAAGAGGTAGTTGCTAGCCTCTGTGTCCATCTGTCTAATAGAAGATTCCATCATGTTTCAAAGTTTTGGTTAAACCAGGAACGATCTTACACGTAGCTTCTGACGGTATTGTTCTGCGCTTTTCAGTATTTTCGCATAGTCTTTCCATCACTGATACGATTGTTGTTAAGATACCTTACTCAAGTTCTAAATTATTGTCCGGTTTTCATCAAATAGCTACTATATATTGGACTAACAAGCCCTGTCGTTATTTTCAGACAAACTGTGTTTATATTTACTAGCAATGGCGGAAGGAGGAAACAATCACTACGAAGGAAGAAATAAAACAAGCAGTAGTTCGAGTGATAGTGAAAATGAGGATGCGGGTGCAATATTTACTTTTGAAGGTAGTGGGATAACCGCTAGCACCTCTGTGAACCCGCTAAGATTACAAAAGGCGCGAAAGGGAAAAAGTCGACCCAGAAAACTAAACACAAGATTAAAATCAAAAATGTCGATGCCTTGTGAAAAATCCCCTATTCTCGTGGAGGAGTTGGACGCACAAATGGCATATGACCTTCAAAAGCAATTGAATGAACTTGACAGTGAACATTTATTACTGCCTTATGGCCACTCAATTTATACAGAACCTGAAAGTCAAGACATATCTTTTACCGATTTCGTGATAGCTAAGGAGGTTGAGATTGAGGAGACTGCCATTCACGATCATATGGTGGCCGAAGAACTTCAAAGAGAATTGAGTAACGAAAAACCAGAAGAAGATTATGGGGGCGCCGAAGGACCAATGTTAAATACATTCAATATAAAACACGAATTGGAGCTTGGAGATCAGAAACTAGCGGAACAATTACAAATAAAATTGGACGAGGAGAGTGCTAAAAGTCTACAAGACAGAGATGAGCTATTGAGATTTCCAAGGAATCATATGAATAAAGACGTAAGTAAATCATCTGAATATCAACCAACTCACTAATAAATGTCACTGGATTCTAGAAAGGGATTATGGTAATGAAATCATTACCATATTTTAGTAGTTAAATCAATGAGTATTCTGGTTGCGCTCAATTGGTATGGTTGTTTTTGTTATTTTTTTTAAAAAGTAATATATTATGTGACAAGCATGCATAGTCTGTCGTACACTAAATGTTTACATCCCCTCACCCTATATTAAACACAATATTATTTCATCATATAATCTACGGATAATGACGTGTAGGTTGTGCAAATCTTGATTTGTGGCAGTTTATCAATTTCATGTCGATATACTCTACAAGCTACCTTTGCAACTTCGAATAACGATTTAACTGCCCGAGCGCCCCACATAAGAGGCTCATCCTGTTTGGTTTAGGTAAAAATAAAGTATTGAATTGGGTTGGTCCGATTCGATCAATTGCTATCCGATTTAATTTGCTATCCGATTTAATTTGCTATTCCATGTCAAATCTAGTGCACCAAAATGACAAATTAAATCTTATACACCGAAATAGGTGTTGCCCACTGTGAAATTTAAACTGTTACTTCCACTGGATGCACGTTTTAAAATTAATAGAGCGTCGAAAATGACGGCAAATGTAAAAGCGGTTGTAATGCCATAATGTTCAATGCACATTGGAGACGGTGGCATTTTCTTTCATCACTAGATTTGTTATGGAATGATGACCCTTTCGTTTGCACACCGTCGAGAGCTGAAACACAATCAGTATATCTCAACATGTGCTCATTATATAGACAGATGCTAACATGAAACCTGATTAAATCAACAATTTTTTTTTTTTTAACTCAAAAGAAAAGGAAGTGGAGGTATTAATTCTTGATATTTTAGGTCATGTTTATGGTTGTCGTTAAAATAATTTCACACTACATGGATCATACTTGTTTTAGGTAAGAAATCCCGAGTATAATGGAATTGGATCAAGAATTGGTGTGTTCAATGGTCTCTTTTATGGCATTTCAAATACCCCACCAAGACCCCATCCAGTGTTTGCGCATCGCCCGCAAGGACTCAATTTTAGACAGATACAGACTCCATATAGAAACGGTATGTTGTTGACAATACGGATATTTTATTGTCCCCCGCCTTTCGAAGAAAGCATTTTGATTGCTCGATGCTTTATAAAAAAAGACAAATGAGTGAGAGAGGTAAAACTTTGTGCATGTAGTTTCACCACATCAATGGCATAACTAAGTGCGATGATAAGAATTTTCTGTTTAGGGTTAGTAGCGATTTGATTGGTCAAGACTTCGGAACATAACAACTCTGCTTTTAATGGCGGTAGAATGTTCAAACTTGATGTTGATGTTCATTAGGTAAATGCCTTGACGGAATTCAATGATTAACATTTTCCGCTAAGGCTAAGCAGGGCTAAGCAATTTGATTGGTCGATGCTTTCAGACACGATAAGCAATTTGATTGGTTGAGACTTTGAAACAAGATAAATTTGATTCTATTTGAAGGAGAGTGATGAAACTTAGTGTATAGTTAGGACTATGTATTGTAAGCAATGACAAATGTGCAATTAATTAATATGCGTCATCTCTTTATTTTGGGCTTGCGGCGGGGACATCAGCCTCGCTGTTGGTTTGTTCTTTTAAATAATTAATTATTGCCTTGCGTCAGTCAAAATTATTCCAAGAAAGTTGCATGGCGAACGGTATAACACTGCAAGTTATTGGCCCTGTCATGACAACCTGCAAAGTGTTACAGAAAGAGAAGGCACGAATCAGTCGTCTGAATCACATGATTTATATAAAGCACTGCTTATGTTGGCATATAATGTATTTAACGACGTGGGTAGTGGTTTCGTGGAGGCGTTATACCTTTTTTGAGGAAGTGGAAAGTCGTTTCTGAATCCTATCATTATTAAAACGTATATGTCTGTGTTGTGCATTTTTGTAGTCTTCAATTATATACAACACTAAGCTCTCTCGCAGTTTGTTGCGATGGCGCCATATTTATAGCTTAGGTACTGGTAATAAAGGTCAACATGGATTTAATATGTCAGTAGCCGATCATGGATCTCATATGTTAGGATGAATCGGTTATTTATGGACTTCTAAGAGGTGAAAATATTCAAACAAATGTTAGCCACGAAATTATGTCATTCTAACGTGATCAAACAGAGTATTACCCCAGTCAAAAACATACTTTTTCCGGCGTGATTCGCCCTTGTCGGTGATGCAGGACGGAGGGCCTAACAAGGACAGCTGTCTAGTCCTTCAGATGAGACGAAAAACCGAGGTCCCGTGTATACATTAGAATGCGCGTAAAAGATCCCTTGGCAGTTGGAATTCGATATAAGAGTAGGCGATAGTGCCGCTGCCTGGGTAAAAGTTCCCTCATAGCACACTGTATGGCGTATGCCCGTCTTCATTAGCCCAGCATAGGAGCAGAACAGTAGGACGTTAAACTCCATTTCATTTCATTTCATTTTCAAAAACATACTTATCTTGTTGAGAAACTCTTCGAAATATGTTCCAGACATCTGAAATTTTTAATTGTATAATCATTATAATTTATCACCTAATTTATTGCATTTTATTAAGCACCCAATGGCCGATGGTGGTAACATCTCGCCGAACACTGATGATTTCTGACATTACCATGTACTTTGATTGTAGATTCGCCCCGTCGACCGAATGTAAGTCGAATATATGTACCAGAACAAAGGGATATAACTCATCTTGGTGCTTTTAATAATATTCCCGTAAGTGAAAGCTAGTGTAACTATTTTAACAGTATCAATACAATGACATAGTGAGCTTATATAATCATGGAAGCTTTTAAAAGACATCTGATATATTTCAAGGACTTGTATAACCATAAAATCTGTTGAACTTGTATTCTAATGTAAATTCATCTATAATTTAGGGTTATTATTTCAGCAGTGCGCTGTGCTAAATATCATATAAGGACTTTGTCGTGGGTTCGATATGCTGGTATTTTCGTCTCCCCCATCCCCCGAATTAGGAAATAACGGTTCAACATAGTAGTTTCGAAGTATTTATGAACCCAAAACATTACACCCCAGTTCTATTCCTTAATTTATTTTAAAGTTGTTTCTGGTAACGTTGAATTATACTACATTTAATGTGATAAATATTTACAATAATTTTTAAATTATTCATCTTTGGTATGATATATATTATATTAGGATATATTTAGAAGACTGAATCAACCGGCGAATCCAGATCACATGACACATGAGGTATGTCGTAGGTTTATCTATAACGGTTTGTCTACATTAAGCAAAGGTATAACGATGTATTTTGAGAAACTATACAAAGTGTAGGATTAACCTTTCAACAAAAGTAGCAATATCTGTTATGGGCCATATTCAATTATTTTTTTATAATAAAACCGCGTATTAGGCCCTGATGAACATTCTTGATCGCCCAATGTGATACATGGTGATTAGATAATTAAAAGAATTCGATTTCTCAATGCAAACTTAAAAATATACGTTATATAAAGATTTAATTCTTTCATGGGCATAATAACTTACATAAAATTGTATAACGAAACGAATACAATTAAATGTTTAATCCTATTGTGCATGTGGTTCATAATTATGTCTATCATTGAAGGAATTGCTGGAGTTGGAGGAACAGATGGGTGAGGTTCAAATAGGAATGACTAAAAGTAAAATACAAAACCTATCGCAGTATAAATTCAGCCCGTCCTTATTAATGAAGGGAGATAACTCAACATGCACTATATGTATGGACTTACTCCTAAAAGACGAAACAGTTCGAGTATTGAAATGTAAACACATTTATCATGTGAAGTGCATAGATCCATGGTTACAGGTATGTTCTTTGTCATACCGATATAAAGTTTCCTTGGTCATAATATTTAATCATCTCTTGAAATGACATAACTGAAATAATGATGGTACAGATTCCACATCTGAACATTATTCACTTATAATTTCGACTTACAAAGATTGTCATGCATAGGACAGAGGGTTTTCCTTTTGTTTCCGTACCCTTCGTACAATATTTCATTGTAACTGAGATTATGTGGCTGGACAAAAATGATCTCGCTTCATGGCTATGAATTCGAGTCAACATAATAGTAAGTACAGAAGGACCGCACCACATACAAAACAAATTCTACGTACAGCCTACTAGAACGATCACGTGGACCTTTCTGTGTCTATTTCCCATCTTGTGATGTTGTTAGGTTTCACAGCATTTTAGTCCAATCAATTTCTAAAAAAAAGGGGGTCAACCCCAAAATTGCAAGAAAAGGTTTATTGATGATTTTTAGTAGGGTTGGGTGTACTGAATGACGTCCTAAAAGTTTACCAAAATTTGAGTACCCTAAAGCTCCCAATTAAGTTGTCAGGGTAAAGCTTTTATATGGCGTGGTTTTCCTAGATGTCCAGTGCTCTCTTGAACTATTTTCGGGGATATCATTACCCCAGAAACATGCTACACATAATCCAAATTTATAAAGGGGCATAACTGCAATGATTTATCATAAAATGGCAATTTTGGTCTCTAAATTAATGCTTTTGGCGCCATTCTTTCATTTAAAGATATATGCCCAGTAGTGTTAAGTGTTTCCTTATACCATTTTAGGGGAACCCCATACCCCAAGACATATTGACGCGAACCCAAATTTACGTATATTCGTAGCTCTGCACTTCTTCGTCACTTTTTGGCATATTTGGTATAATGTACATGTTTTGGGGTCCCTACCCCCAATAACTTGATAAATACTTTTCTGGGAAAGTATCTTTCATAGGGTCTTAAAACCCAACCGTTTAGATTTTTCGTGTACATTGGTTATGCAAATGTCAACCATCTTGGATTTTACCGCTTTAAAGGACTATGCCTAACAACATATATATTCAAATGAAAGAATGGCCACAAAAACATTAATTTACATATTAATATTACTCTTTTTGGGTCTTAAACCAAAGATTTAAGATTTTCTTGCACGTTGATTTGGCGAATGTCGTCCATTTTGGATTTTACTTAATTTTATCGCTTTAAGGAACCAGTAAACAGTACTGGCTATATCTTCAAATGTACGAATGGTCCCAAAAGCATTAATTTATATGTTCATAATACATTTATAGGGTCCTAGACCAACAGTTTAGGATGCTCTTGTACACTGATAAGGCAAATGTCGGACATCTTGGATTTTACCGCTTTGAGGTGCACATTTTGTTTTAATTTTTTTTTGCTTTTATAAAGTATACCTAAATAAACACAAAAATGCATAAGAACGTTTTCTTACAATTTTGGGGGGTTAAAATCATAAATTGGCTGGACTATTTATGCAATATGTTGTATTGTGCATTATATCTTTTATTTTTTACTTTGTTGTAGAAAAAGGCTGAGTGTCCTGTATGTAGGGAAAGTCTGAAATGAAAACCCATAGATGAATTTAATTTATGTGCACTTGGACTATGTGGCTGTCCTATCTACAATTTATTTTGTTTTTATATCAATTAAACTGAATGGCATTAACTATTGTTAGGAATCGAGTCTGTAATTCAACGAACGAATAACCAAAACCATACTATTTGACAGGAAACAAACTTATTGAAACTGTGAATAAATGTTATTTTATCATTAATGCGGTTATGATTTCTATCCTTTGTCTGTGATTTTTGATTATGCCTTTATGAATGTTGTTGGAAGTGGTGCTTAACTATACACGCTATCTACTACGGGATTTTACAACTGATTCACATCCGTATCGCGGGTGAATACCTACCTGGGTTTGCCTGGTACCTTATTTATGTTTTAAGTTTAAAGGAGCTAAGCCGCTAATCAGCGTTCGCCCTGTTAACACCTGCAGCTCCAGTGATCCAGTGTTCCAGTTATCCAGTGTTCCAGTTATCCAGTCTTCCAGTTATCCAGTCTCCAGTATTCCAGTATTCTATTCATCATGAACCCTCTAGTAAAAACATACGAAGTTCCCGAAGAAGAGACCAGCAGGGTGTCCTACCACGTGGCGGTCAGCAGCACGGATAGATTGACCGACAGGGGAATCTTGAAGTGCCTGGTCGACCTGCTCGGCAAGTGGGAAGACATCCTGACCATCTATCAAAAAGAAGAAGAATGGCATATACATGTGAGAACAAAAGAAGTCAAAACCAAATTACTTGAGAAAGAAAGCCACGCCCACATGGGGATAAACTACAGATTCCATAAACGCTTTTCGAAAGTACTGACCCTCACTGTGTATGACTTTCCAGTATCCTACTCGGACGAATACTTTCAAACTATCATGAATGATATCGGGTATGTCAGAACATTTAAAGATCATCGACTGCCAGGCACGAACGTATATAAGAGAGATAGAGAAGTAGAATTAGAAATCAAGACTGAGAAAATAAAAGCCATACCCCAAATAATTATACTAAAAGCCCATTACGGGGACGCCAGCGTAAGAATTCTAACCCCAAGCCAACCTTCTCCATGCTTCCGATGTGAGAAGTTTGGCCACTCACGTAAGGAGTGCCCTCTCCGAGGCCCAGAGAAGAAAATAAAACAGACAGTACAGCCTTCAGTTCCAGCAGTAAAGAAATCCGTCGAGAACAGTACAGCAGTAACCCAGTCTCCGCCAGTTGAACCCAAAGCACCAAAAAGACGAAGAGAGGATGGAGCTAGATCATCAACATCGGAAACATCAGACTTCAAGTTCACCAAACCGAGACCCCCTCCAATAAAGATAAACGAAAACAGTATCGAAAAAGAGTGCAGCTACCATCCCTCAACTTCAACACCTTACGACGCCAGCTTCGATTGGAATATTCACAGTATCGTCAGTAACCATAGTACGTTCGACTAAGGAAAAAAAAAAAATATATATATATATATATATATAACACGTGATTGTCTGCGATATCACCTCGGTGGAAGCGGGCGTAAAATACAACTAACTCACACAAGTCGCTAATATTTGGGATCTACAAATTGACAAAAATGGGTCGCAACATATATAATAATGTAATATGAATATATATAAACTCATTTAGATTCTTATTCGTTTCTGCATTTACTCTAATTTCTAATCAATTATTTTCAGCGAAATACGCCAGAAGTCTCAATCGAATGGCAATCTCTAGCGTCTTGTTATTCCAGTCTACACCGATAGTATTTATTGCGCATGCTTTCCAGATAAGAACACGCCGTCACCGTTTGGCATGGAATATGTCTAGCCTCGTTCTTCGAGTCCATTGTTACACATGACGCTGAAACGCATTATGGTACACGATTCGTGTACCGATGGTAAAATGTTTATTTGTCTTAAATATTGGATATCAGAAGCCCATCTTTTCCCGGTAAGATCACAACATTAATGTTGATTTAAATTGACAAATAATTTGTGTTTTCAATGTCGAAGACTTTGGATGAAAATGAGTTAGAGACTTAGCTACTTTAAAAAAAGTGACCTTATATACAGGTAGCTTTGATGGGTTTATTTGGTAAACTGATCTGATTATAATAATAAGTAAACATAAATATATGTAAATAAATAAGAAATGCAACATCGAATTAAAGATTTTACTAATAAGGAACAGTTGTTCTAGCAGGATGTTTCGTAAGAGTAAAAAAAGTGAAGCGACAAAAATAAATAAATTTTCGCGTGTTAGGAAGTGGGTGTCATGTTTTCATAGTCTCGTTTGGGAAGGTCACATAGTAATAATTAGCCACCAAGATAAAATTGTTACAGAAACTAATCAGATCCCCAAATACCCGTACTTCGATTCCTGGGGTAATACGCTTTCGTTATCAATCAATGGCATGTCGATGCAATCCATTACCGTCATATATTTACCAAACCATTTTCGAATCTGATTTAGGAAATATTTCATACGGCTTCTACACAATATTTATTTATCGGGAATGATTGGGGTGCCCAGGTCTGGTCTGTTCGTTTATCAACGAAAATAATATAGATCCCGACTATGACAAATAACTCAGATTAGTTTTGGAGTAAAATGTCCGATTTATAAAGTGAACAGTTCTTACAGTGCGCGTAGCGGCACAGTTATCCCTTAATAGCGCCACGCTGGCTCAGTGGAAAGTGCGCTGGTCCACTAACCAGGAATGAAATGGGGTTTAAGTGCACCAATCAGACTAATGAAGACAGGCGCTCAACCGCGGGTCCCGGGTTGAATCCCGATATTGGCCGATAGTGTTTCCATGCACAGTCTCATTTCCCATTGACAGTAGCGCAGGGTGGAAGACATGGAGGGGAACATCGTCTAATTTATCGGATAGGACAAAAAAACATGATCATGTGTATATGCCTTTAATACTAGGGCGCCAGAATAGCCGTGGAAAAGGGGACTGGCGGCGGGGTACAGGGTAATTTAATATTACTTGTTAAAAGGAACGGACATGAGCGGTCAGAGAACATCGTCCGTTCTAAGAACTACGCCAATTCCTGCTTTTTCGGTGTTTACTGCCATTAGAGGCATACGAAAATATGTTAAAAGGCATTGTTCTTGGAAAACACATTAAAGGGGATAACTTCAGGACAATAAAAACGAATCCTGGTTGTTATTTCAGTGCATGAACATTCACATTGACCGTAAACTCACTAGGATAGGGGATGCGGGATGGCTAGGAACAGTGTCTAGACATTCGGTTGGGACGAAAACTGAGGCCCCAAGTACACGGTGATGTGCACTTAAAATAACGCATGACAGTTTGTATTCAATTGCTGTTCGGGCAATATTCCCCTCAACGCAGATACACCCCCGTCTTCATTAGCCCCGTTGGTGAGAATAAGTAAACCCCATTTCCTTTATTCATTCTAATGCTAGGTTCCCACTGTCACGATTCGTGCTACGATTGAAATCGTGGTGTTAATCATGGAGTAATCGTGGTGGTCCTATCGGGTCTTATCATATATTTATAATAATACTGAGGTCAGTCGACAGTCTTAGCAATCGTGTTGGTCGTATCGAAACCTATCTGCGCGTACAAGATCGTGAACTCAATAGGGACATTCCTATTGTAACGCATCGCACGACAGTGGGAACCTAGCATAAACTAACTCAATAATCAACATACATAGACTAGACCAGGGTGGGGGGGGGGTATTTTGACATGCAAAATGAAATGAAATGAAATGGGGTTTAACGTCCTACTGTTCTGCTCCTAACCTGGGCTAATGAAGACGGGCATACGCCATACAGTGTTTCAATGAGGGAAATTTTGCCCGGGCAGCGGCACTATCGCCTACTCTTATATCGAATTCCAACTGCCAAGGGATCTTTTACGTGCATTCCAATGTATACACCGGACCTCGGTTTTTCGTCTCATCCGAATGACTAGACAGCTGTCCTTGTCAGGCCCTCCGTCCTGCATCACTGACATGGGGAAACCACGCCGGAAAATCTGGATGAACTTTCTCGGCCAATGCAGGGATCGAATACCCGACCTCCAGGCTAGCGAGCCAGGGTCTTACCCACTTAGCCACGTGATCCCCCATTTTGACATGCGATATTTGGTTAAGCATTACTGCGAGTTAAACACCGTGCACTTTGTGACATAAGTACCTGTAGATTTACTTGCGGCGTTTATCGATTGTTATGACTAATACAGATGGCGCAGTATGTATGCTGAACTCATTTGGCCACAGTACACAATTAATTTCTCCATTGACTCTAATGTACAGCGGTGCATCTAAGTTCCACGGGAATTTGTTCTAAAATTTAAAAATCTCGATTTTTAATGGCCATATTATAGTTCTTGGGAAAAAAATTGACAAATTGCAAAAAACCGCATTTTCTTTTTGCAGGAATAATTATTTTTGTCATGAAAAATGTACAAAGTATAGTATTTTTCATAATGACAATAATTTTCACTTTTAAGAGAGCCAGGCAGGCAAGGAATATATTTTTAGAAACATTGAACAGTATGCAAACGGCCAAATATGGTATTTTTTTTTTTTATCAAGGCTTGTTTTAAACCATATTCATATTTATTGCAAGTAATTTGCTTTCTATGTTTAGCCAGGGATTGCAAAACAAATTCCTTTGGTAATGTTAGTTCTGCATCCAAAAATTAGATTGATTCAGTCAGTAACATGTTTAGGGGGTAGTGATACATGTTTCAGTATAGATCTCTAATATTACAATCAATGCAACTGGTTTGTGATTTTTCTGATTGCATATTGTCTAAAGTTTCTACAAATGCATTCCTTGCCAGTCTGGTATCTAAAAGGTGGACAAATATTGTATTTTATGGTTTTTTTCTATGCAGTTTGGTTGTAACTTGTCCAATTTTTTCACAGGACTCAAATATTGCCTTTGATAAGAAAGATTTTTAAATTATAGCACAAAAAGCCCATTGATCTGAGATGAACATAAAGCAGAATGTATGATATACAGGCCATGATTTTTGCAGTTATTCATTGATTTTGATTTACTTTCACCGGCATGTTGCCAGAATACATACATGTAAAGCAATTAAAAAGGCCTTTAGCTGATACCTGAAGTTTTACCCCTATACAGGGCACAGGTCACCAATTATTCCTATGCTGGTTCGTCAAGAAACAATTAAGGGTTTTTTTTATTGGGTGTTGTCTAACTTAGGGAAAGCCCCGGAAATTTTGGTTAGACTTGTGAAATATTTACTCCAGCTATGGATAGGCTACCTTTGCTTGTAGAAAGTTTCAGCCATGTAACTTATGACCTAATGTTTAGCTCCTTGAGGGGTACTTTAAGGTTCTGCTGTGGCTATATGCCTCAGCAGTGCCCGATCTGACCAGTTGATTTTTCTCGTATGGACACCCACTACAAATCTAGGGGGTCAAACCTTTTCTAACTGACGACCATATTATTTTTTAGCTCCTGGACTATAATGATCGAGACTAGAGTCTAGTTAGACAGGAGACAGAACACCAATTAGTTCCCCATTGACTTTAATGTTAATTCTCGTCTCTAAGATCGGCTATAAATTTCCCCAAAATTTTCGTAGGGTTGAACGCTTTCTACCACAGATAGCGCAACATAATGTGCCAAACTCTTGCTCAAAAGCAGGTACAGGGATCACTATAGAAAACGTGGGTACACAAACTGGAAGTAGCATATAACTAAACATGCAACTGTCAGCTTTACAGGTCAACCTAACCAACCGCTTAACTCTTGTATCCTTCCGCCTCAAAATCATGAATATTCACCAAAACCTAGCAGGAGATAAAAATGTATATTCAGACCTCCTTCTTCAATTCTACACTAAAATGTCAACTGATATCGCTGTGTAAAAGGGGAAAGGGAGAGAAAGACTAAAAATAACGTTGGCCTATACTTCGGCGTAGGAATAATTGGTAAGCTGTGTGCATAAACTGTGTTTCTAGTTCAGGTCCGCAATTGAGTTCACCTACCGGGCTAATAATAGTGCAACTGAGTATAACAACAACGGTTATATAGTAAAATGACTTCTATTCTAAGGAGACTGTCGCCATCGTTTCTACAAAAGTTAAAGACGGGATCAAAAAGGAGAAGCCTTGCAGTATATATACAGCGATTTCAAGTACGTATTCCATTTAGCTTTCTAGTGTATACACATACACTGTGATAGCTGTGAACGACCTATTTTGACCGATTTTCTAAATCAGGCGTTAATCTAGCTATCTTTTCACAACACCACAACTGACCATGACATTAGTAGGAAAAGGGTAACTGTGTAGAGCTTCCACGTATTTGTAGCACAAATATAAATAGTATACACAGACAGTGGAATGCATAAGTACACTATATCAATAATAGTTCCAAATTATAATAATGATAATAGTGATGATAATAATAAGCATAAGTATATGGCTCGGAAGGGACAAAAAAAAAAAAAAACAATGTCCCGGGTATACAACGGTGTGCCATAAATATGATCCTTGACAGTTTAAATTTGGTGAAGAGTGGGCAGAAATGCTGCGCTCGGGGTAAAAATTCACCCAGCACATTACATTCATAAGTACAATTGGTTCAGAAAAATAAGACGTTAAACTCTATTTCGTTATAGTTTATAACCGAAAATAGGACGTTAGAATCAATTTCGTTATAGTTTATAACCGAACATAGGACGTTAAACTCTATTTCATTATAGTTTATAACCGAACATATGACGTTAAACTATATTTCATTATAGTTTATAACCGAACATATGGCGTTTAACTCTATCTAATTATATTTTGTAACCAAAACATAGTGTTTACTTTTTACTTTCATAACTTCGTCTAAGGTCTATCTACTTCATTCTTTTTTACATAGAGATCAACTGATGTTTCCCAAAATGGTAGACGGGAGAAAATGAAATTGGGCGTATTGGGTTGTGGACGAATTGCCTTCTTACATGTACCAAACATTCTAAGTATTCCTGGCTTGGAAATAAGCTGGATACTAGATAACAACGCCGACCAGATAAGCGCTCTAAAAGAGAATTTCTATCTAGAAGATGTTCAATCTTACGGCACTTCTGATTTCGATAGTCTTCTGGATGATAACACGTAAGTTATTAGACCTAATACCAATTCAAATTTCGTTGAGCTGTTCTGGATATACTTCGAGATCTATGTAATATTTTTCAGGATGCCAAATACATGGAGCAAGGCCTTCATTATCTCGACACGGGTGCTATATATTACAGTCAGTATTGATATATATCACAGGTTTTGGTGCATATGATTCATGTTAAAAGGACATCAACCTACATACCTTATTTATCTATAAATAATATCAGAGGGGTTATTCTCCCACATTATATGTAAATAAACAATCACAATGTCATAATATAGTTCAGATACCTGCAACATAAAACCAGTCCAATCCAGTTTACCTTGAGCATAATGTTAGTATTGCAGTTAACTGCACTAATCTGCAATAACTCATAGTTTTAAAAATGTATTATCTAGCGCACGCTTGCGCACGACACATGACTGGTACGGATAGGAAAGAACAAATCGACTAAAACAGTGAGAATGGGAACATAGGTTTAAGGTACTTCTGCAACACCCGCTGCCATCATATTGGTGAGCGTCAGAGATCACAGTCACACTAACGCAAAGACTAAACTGCTGCCTGGTCAAACCTATGTGACACTTCCCATGACCACTGTTACTTTGTTGTGGCGAGATTCCCTCTCATGTGAGAAAATGTGTCAATCTTCCCCACTGGCAGACTACTTACGGGTTCCATTCTCTTATACTTGTTTAGTCAGGAAATGTAATTTGGATTTTCCCATCCTTGAAATTGACTAGAAACATGGTCACTCTTTTTGGCAAAATCATATCGGATGTTCTGAGAAAAGTATGTTTATTCTGCTTTGTGCATGATGCCCATAGTTTACACTGTGACACTCTACCTTAATCGGTCGACAGTACACACAATCAAAAAGCTTCGTGACTTAGCAAAAGGAAATCAGTATTTCGGAAAGGGAAATCTGGGGGAGATGGCTGACACGTGCGTACCATACCCACTAATGGTGATCCGGTGACGACCGTAACACTTTTTAAATAAGTATATTGTATAAATAACCTATAGTCTGTGTGGGTTAGCTGTCACCAGAGTCCCCCAGGTTATGAAGTCTACTCAGAATAAGCAAGTCTAATGGATGATCTCGGACATATGCAAACAGTATTTTATAACCAAGTTGCAGAGTGTCACCACAACATTTTTACTAGTCCTTACCTTTCCATCGCACACTCGCAAAAATTTATACTGTTAAAATTGATTAAACAGTACAAAAGAATACAATTCAGTAGGGTTCGTGCATAAAAATTGAAAAGAAGCGTTAATGGGCATCCCTTGTCTTCTGTTATAGTATCACCTCTTTTGATTGTAGCTTAAATGGAGTTGTTATTTTATCTTCAACGAATACGCATACAGATTATACATGTCGAGCTTTGAAGAAGGGTAAGAGTTATCGTCTCTTCACACTGAGTGGATTAGAATTTAAATAGCATATAAAGTGAATTAGTCCGTACCGGGGACAACCATTTGATTTTTTAACCGAACACCTGGATTTGTATTTTTATACGCCCGCATGGAAATGTGAACGTATATTGCCGTCGCCCCTTCCTTCCGTCTGTCGGTCTGTCCGTCCGTCCGTCCTCCACAATTTCTTGTAAACACTTTCACGCCTAAAGTTATTATCCAATCTTTATATTTATATGCTCCCTTCAACTTTGTTGAATCTTGTGAACGCTCTAACGCCAAATCCGATCTTTGTGAAATTTATATGAATCATTTAAATTAGTGAAACGAAGAAGCCTACTGAATTTCAGCCATTTCCGTTTATTACCTCTAGAGTTATGGCCCTTGTTTCACTTTATTGAACCTTGTGAAAGCTCTAACACCAAAAGTTATAATCCGATCTTTGTGAAATTTATATGCATTATTTACATTAGTGAAACGAGGAAGCCTATTGAATGTCAGCTATTGCCAAATATTACATGCAACTGTCGGCCCTACAGTTATGGCCCTTGTTTCACTTTGTTGAACCCCGTGAACGCTGTAACTCCAAACGTTATCATCCGATCGTTGTGAAATTTATATGCATAATTTAAATTAGAAGCCTATTGAATTTCAGCAATTTCCGTTTACTACATCTAGAGTTGTGGTCCTTGTTTCAATTTGTTGAACCTTGTGAACGCACTAACGCCAAAAGTTAATATCCGATCTGTATGAAATTTATATGCATCATTTAGATTAGTGAAACCACGAAGCCTATTGAATTTCAGCAATGCACAATAATTACTTCAAGCGTTATGGCCCTGGTTGCACTTTATTCAACCTTGTTATTGCTCGATTGATGAAAGTTATCAAATATGTATGGAATTTATATGCATCATTTAAATTTGTGAAACAGAGGTCTATTGAATTTCAGCAATTTCCGTCAATTATTTCTAGAGTTATAGCCCCTGTTTTACTTTGTGTACCTTGTGAACGTTAGAATGACAAAAGTATTCATCCAATCTGTATGAAATTGTTATGCATTATTTAAAGTAGTAAAACGAATAAAGGCTCTTGTTTCAGTTTTTAAATAATATAATAATCTGATCTGTATGAAATTGTCTTGTAAAAGAATAAATATGCGACAACCCTTGTCGACCGCCCGAACGATTTAGCTGCTGTGGGCGTATGTTTCGTTGCCTGGCAACCTATTTTGCCATCTCATAGAAGCTCTGTATGCATAAAAATAACATTGCGCCAGTATTTGGACGAGAACAGTTTTTCTAAATGCATGAATATTAAATTTAGCTCTGTTTCATAAGGTAATGTTTTGAACGGCTCTAGCTATGACGAAAATGGCATCTATTATTCGTAGATCTTGTTTGCCTAGGGTTTTGAAACTTTCGTTAGGGGCATGTTCTGGTAATATGACGAAATGCTGACAGGTCTAGTAGGTTTCTAATATGGAAGAAATAGGAATGAATCTGATTTTTTGTGTATTGTTTGATTTGGTATTTGTGTCACTAAAAAGGATTTAAAACGGTGAATTATGACATAAGTTTTGTTATATCGATTTAAAACTAATTTTTCTGTATGTAAAGATCATGTTGCTGTAACTGGAGCAAAGACATAAACTAATTTTTAAATTAAATATCGTGCACTGCGATATTACCAATGTGTTGGTAAAAAAAATGTTTCTAGTGTAAGAAAGAACATGTATTGCTGAATGTTAACACTGAAAACATTTATCTAATACTGATACTTTATTTTATAGGTAAAGCTGTATTTGTCGAGAAACCTGCTGGTGAATCAGTAGAAGATATAGAGTTATGTTACAATACAGCCCAACAATACAACACTCCTTTATTAACTGGATATAATAGGTATAAATATATATTCTCAGTGTTATCTTGGTAGTATACAGGTAGTATCACCTTTTTCAGGTCATGGAATGATAAAAGAATTGTTACAAAGTCGTCAAAGTTTAAAATTGCGAGAGGGACAAATACACACATTTTTATACGCCAACATAGAAATATGGTCGTATATTGCCGTTGCCTCCATCTGTACGTCCGTAAACACGCCCGTCCGTCGTCCACACTTTCTTGTGAACACTCTACAGACTACATTTATCATCTGATTGTTTTGAAATTGATATATGTTGTTTACATTAGTGAGATGAAAAAGCCTTTTGAATTTCCGTTAATGGCCCTTGTTTTACTTGTTAAACCTTGTGAACGCTCTAACGACAAACATCATCACCCGATCTGTATGGAATGTATATGCATCATTTAAATTAGTGAAACGAAGAAACCTATGAAATTTCAGCAATTTCCTTACGTCTAGAGTTATTGCGCTTATTTCACTTTGTTGAACCTTGTGAACGGCTCTAACAACAAAAGTTATTATCCGATCTGTATGGAATTTATATGCATTATTTAAATTACTGAAACGAAGAAACCTATGGAATTTCATGAATTTCCGTTAATTTCTTCTGGAGTTATTATATCCCTTATATCACTTTGTTGCACCTTGTGAATGCACTAAAGTTATTATCCCATCTGTATGAAGTTTATACAGATCATTTAGATTAGTGACACGAAGGTCCTATTGAATTTCAGCAATTTCCAATAATTACGTCTAGAGTTACTGGCCTTGTTTAACCTTGTGAACATTCGAATAACGAAAGTTATCATCTGATCTGTACGAAATTTATATGCATCATTTAAATTAGTGGAACGGGGAATCCTATTGCATTTCAGCAATTTCAAGTAATTACTTGTAGAGTTATAGCCCTTGTTTCACTTTGTTGAACCTTGTGAACGCTCGAATAATGAAACTTATCATCCGATCTGTATGAAATTTATATGTCAAGAGTTATGGCCCTTATTTCACTTTATTGAACCTTGTGAACGCTCTAACGCCAAAATTTATCATCCGATCTTTGTGAAATTTATATGTATTATTTAAATTAGTGAAATGAAGAATCCTATTTAATTTCAGCAATTCCTGTCAATTACTTCTAAATGTATGGCCCTTGTTTTACTTTGTTGAACTTGTGAACGTTCAAATGACAAAAGTTATCATCCGATCTGTATGTAATTTACATGCACTATTTGAAATAGTAAAACCAAAACGCCTGTCGAATTTCAACAATTTCTGTAAATTACTTCCAGAGTTAAGGACTTTGTTTCAGTTTATAGAACCTTGTAGAAAATTATAATCTGATCTGTATGAAATTGGCTTGTAAATAAATGCCTCCAATTATCTACAAAAGAATAAATGTGCAACAACCCTTGTCACCCGTCGGGCGATTATTAAGCTGCCGTGGGCGTATGTTTCGTTGCCTGGCAACCCATCTTTTTGCTATTCTTTCCTTTTATATTTGTAGACGCTTTGATCCAACTTTCTCTAGTCTTCAGAAATCCTTTCATGCTGGTGATATTGGTGATCCAGTATTTATTAAACTTACGTCAAGAGATTGCCCAAGACCATCTTTAGACTTCCTTAAGAATTGTGGTATGTTTTGTTTTTGTTTTGTTTTTTTTTTGGGGGGGGGGGGGGGTTGTTGTTTTTTTGTCTTTATTGAAGATATCTATCAATGGGTTTTTACTTACAGTACATCTATACACCGTTAGCTATATAATTGTAAACTATGCCCCGGATGTCTTTTCCAGAAAAACTATAGCTTTGCATTTTTTTCTCAAAAAAATAATTATTTTATCCAACAGTTTCCCCTTTTCTTTTTGTCTTTGCTCATATTTGTGGAATTGAGTTTCAGAAAATCCAAGCGTAATTTTATGAATATCATATTCTGACATATTACAAATGGAAGTAAATTGATTTCAAACTAATTTAGTCCAACATATGACACTTTCTCTGATATTTTACCTAACGGTAAGCATAGGGCTCACAAGAAAACAGTGTCTTAACACTGTTATTCCTTATGATAATACAACATATCACAAACCGTGGAACGATGAACGTATAATAAGTATTTTACATAAGTTTCATTCAAGCTTTCTGGCTTACAAAAATGTTCATAACTGCCTCGGGATCAGTGTCGACCAAGAGCAATAACTCTATGACCCAAAGTGAACGCAGACGATTCTTCATTCGTGCAAGAGCGGAGAAGAACACTCCCCACTACAGAAAGTCATTGCCGCAGCTAAGTAAATTCTGACAGCAATATACATAGGTTAATTTTGACATTAGCATTATGGCCAATACTGATGAATACCCAGCCAGCAAATTTAACGCGCTGCACAAGAATCTGTTCAAAAATGAAAAGAAAACAAATGTCTAATTTAGTTGGCCTGTGCATAATGACACCGATGAATGATGGTTTGGCGAGTGCCTATGGACTTACGTGCATCGAGCCATTTCCAGGTCAAACAGGTACCTCTATCGCTTGGGGGGGGGGGGCTATTCGCGGACTCGAGAACTCCTTCCACTGGACTCGCCCCACCCCCCACCCCCGCGCCTCCCTGTCCCTACCTTTTCGTACACGGATTTGTTTTATTGTTGGACATTTTCTCTCTTTTTTGGGGTCCTGCAGATTTGCAGGATTTAATTTTAGTATTATTTCAGATACAACTGGTTGCAACATATTGTCTGATCTAGGCATCCATGATATTGATACGTTGGTTTGGTTGACGAAGGCTGAACAACCTGAAAGTATATTTGTTCAGACACATGCCCATGATGAAGTAATGAATAAGATGGGTGTGGATGACGCACTAATGATGATGGTGAAGTACAAGTCCGGGCTGATTGCATCTATAGATGTTGTCAGAGATTCTGTTTATGGATATGATATCAGAGTAGAGGTGTGGTTCAGAAAATACTATAATAAATAATTACAGACTTTCCTTTTAACAGATTTACCAGCACTTTAGTGGTAAGGCATAATGTCTACATTTCTAAGGACATCCATGGTGGGTGGGGAAAAATAAGTCTGGTTTTAAAACCTATTATTATAGTATCCTAAATGGAAATAATGTGTAGAATTTGCCAACATTCTAAATGACATTCCCGAATGCCTATTTGTCCAAATATGGTGTAAGGATATTAATGCATGGCGCGACTGCATCATTTTGTCTCCATATATTGTTAATAATACTTGACAGTGGGGTGGATGAATGTACTTTTTACCATACAAAAATGAGAAATCCATAACATTTTTATGCCTCCTGCATGCTTTTTGTTAAACTTGTAGTATGTAAATACAATGCCACCTTTCACTCATCCTACATTTATTTATTTGACTTGTGGATATTGTATCTATGAAACTACAGGCCGGATTAAAACAAGCTTAATCCCCTGGTAGTTTATTTGTAACTCATGCTTTAAAGATTCAAAATACTTGATTTGCATGTCATTTGTGCTGGCCCGTTTTTGGCATAACAACACCCTGTGCAAACTATTGTTAGATTTAAACTATATATTTATTGAAAAGAGAAGAAAACCGAATCGGAACTCCAAATGTATCATTTCAAATACTCTTAAAAATTTATAAAAGTGAAATAGTATGTCAGCCCTATGTTTGTAGACCTGGTAAGGGGCACATTGCAAAGGTGAATATTAATAGCTTTAGATAGGGAAAAATCAGGCATTGGCTTTTTCCTACTCCAAATGCTTGTAAATATCATTTTGACCTAACAGAATTTTAAACCATCATCGAGGTCAGTAGATTATCTAACCAACATGTTTCGTACGTCGTTCTCAATTAAACAGGCAAAGTAAGTTATTAGAAACCGATTATCCTACTCCGTTGCGGGGGATTTTAACAAATTTTTATACCGGAAAATTAGGCATTCGCCTTTTACTGCATTATATGCTTGTAAATATTGTTTTGACCGTGAGCTTACTAATCCGATACAAGCCTACCAAGTCATAAATGAACTTCAAGGTCATTAGATTATCTAACCATTCTTTTCATAATAATCTGCTAATTGGCTTGATAACACATTTTAGTCTATTATAGTCTATTATTTTTTATTGATCTTTTGTTCACTTGCTACATTTTAAAATCTATAGATTTATCATTATTCGCTATCTTCATATTATTGTTTTTATCCAGATCATATTATTGTTTTTATCCAGATCATATTATTGTTTTTATCCAGATCATATTATTGTTTTTATCCAGATCATATGTATCTAGGTAGAAATCTGGTTTGAGTAAAAATAAGTCGAATATCAGACATCCACTCACTATTGAATAATCGAACCATCTCTTAACGCCGAAATTACGTTGGTCAGCAGGCCGGAAGGTGGTAACCGGAGATAAAGGATAGTTTGACTTTACACCAGGCTCGTAGCTAGCCCAAAAATGTTAGGGGGAGGGGGGCAATGGCTTCTGGGGACGCCGATGTACATACATTTGAAGGTCCACGGCGAACGGTACCGTGGAAGCGCCTCCCTGGAAAATAGGGTTTGCACCTGTGAAAAGGAACTATGTAAATGACGGAAAATTTCAATTTTGGGGCTGAATTTGCGATATTGGCGTATATGATATAAACATTTAACATTATATTTTGATATGAACATTATGAAAATTTGAAGGAAGGAATACGACTTTACTCATAATAATTTATGAGTAAAAACGAAAAGTTCGAAATCGCGTTAAAGTGCGACTTGTTTGAATTTTGAAGATTATCACGCCTGGTGCGGGCTTGAATCAATCTCATCCCCTTCGTGAATTTGACCTTGAAAATTTGCTACAATCTCCAATTGGCTTTCTTATGGTAGATTTCTTCGGGCTTCGGTATGCGGTCGGTTCCTTGATTGGGCGCCCATGATCTCGTCGTAGGCGGCCCACCAATCTCGGCATGAGGCACCAGGATGAGGCACCTCACCAATCATGCCGTCTTTGACGCCCCATTGATCAAGTCGTGGACACCCAGCCAATCTCACTCGGCACTATGCATTATTGTAACACTAGTGATGTTATCTACGTCTAGGAATTAACGACAAGTGTTAAAAGATATTAAATCCAAGTTTATTTATGAACTACAAAATTCATTTCATATTCAAATAGAGTCAATAATAATTAGGGTAGAAACTGTATACCGATTGATCACAGATCAACACTTTAGAATAAAGTTAATTAAAAGACCAAGAAACCCCTTACCTTAAATCACGTTTCCTACGTCTCTCCAAATCCGAACCTGAACTGATAGATTTCAGATCTGTATTTATAATTTCAACAATAATGTGGAATTGAAAACTCGTGATTGGTATAATTTAGTTACTTAAACTGATCTTTGAATATAGTGTACCAATAGTTATACAATTTCTTGACCCAAAATAAAAATAAAATACATTGAACTCGCAATGTTACATTATGTGCGGCCATTATGTCATTATTATAAGGCGCCCCACCAATCATGTCATTATGGGCGCCCCTCCAGGATAAGGCGCCCCACAGATCACGCTGTGTTTGGCGCCCCATCAATCACGTTGTGGTGTTAATTAATCGTGTGATTCATTATGAGGTGCCTCACCATTTGCCGGGCACCTCATATATAACGATATGATAGGCGAATGACATTGTGGCGCCCCGCTAGCTACAGGCCTGTACACAACCGCCACATACATGGTTATATCCTCCCATGCCAGTGTACTCCACTGCCTCGGCATGTAATATTACTAAAATCAACTTGAATACGCGTCATACTGTTGATTTATACATTTTTCGACCAGTTACAGACTGACCTTTCCTCAACGATTACTATCGGTGTTGTTAGATCTAGTATTTCATATATCTACATTGAATTATGGCCACTCTTTACCACCCGTTCTCCATTCGTCGTTAACCAATCCTTGGGAACACGGCCTTGTTGTCATTCACCATTTAATGTTTTTGTAAACACATGCATTGCTTAGATTAGTGAAATAAAGATACTGTCCTATCAAATTTCAGTTTATTTTTGATCAGCTCACTCTTAAAATATTAATTATCTTTCATCATATGCGTTCTTTAAAAACAAGCAGTGAATTACTATCTAATTTAGCTGATTATTTCAGAGTTATGCCGCTTTATAACTTTGTCTTTTGAATGCTAATACCTGTCGAGAAGAGACCGGTTTTTGTGTCTTTTTAGTAGTAATACTTGTTTAGCATTACCTGATTGATATGAATACGATATTCCTCATCATCTAAGTCAACTTTATAATTGTAAATATTATTGTTTTAGATCTTTGGCAGTGGCGGGATGTTGTCAGGAGATCCACAAAGAGAAGTATCGCTAAGGACGGACCAAGCAGGAAAATGCAATACGTCATCATTATTGTACAGTTTTAATCAACGATTCAGCCAGGCCTATCGTAATGAAATCGAGCATTTCATACGCTGTATAGAAGGTATGATGTCTTTTATGAAGTGTGTGATTGTGAGTGTGTTTTGTGATGGAGGTGGGGGTAAGAATCTAATGAAATGTTGTTTTCACTTCGATTATTTCTTTGGTCACTCTATTAATAGCCCAAATAAGTAATACACATTCATTGGAAATAGGAAAGAGAATATTATCCATTGCCAATTAATAAATAAAGCTAGTAACTTAAATAATCATTTATTCTACCATTTTATTGATAAACTTTATGAAGAATTAGAAGTAAAACACTTTCTGAGATAAAAAAAACACGGAAAAAGACGCGGGCAGTGGATATTCCGAAAATTTAATTAGGCTTCGATATTTGTAATAAATAGTCAGCAATTAAAGACATCGTCTTGTGAATGCAATGAATTCTCCTCCGACTTCGGTTGCGGTGCTAGGTACTGAGCGAGAGGTAAGTCACGTGACACAAACAAGACCTCTTTTGATCGATTTTTTATAACCAGGATATTCCCCGACAGTTGCAATGTTTTGAGAAGGATTTGAAGCAAAATTATGATAAATTAATTAGTTTGAATATGTTTTTAGTACAAATATATCATCACACAGTTTGTACCCGGGAATGTATCTTTACATTTATAACTTAAAATTACACTCCAAGAAATGTATATATGTTTGTAACTCACTAACTGTACATATGTACACCATTGTATAGTAAACATAAGATTTAACTATTTTATATGTTTGGAGAGAACTTATATAGGCCTTTGCCTGTTGTTCAATCCAATTCAGCTTATTGAATAAAATATTGTTTAAACTAATAGCCCAATAAATGTCGAAGTTCGGCGTGTTCTGGGCCTAGCCTATAGTGAAACCGTGATATCTGTTTGCTCGATAAATGTAAAAGTTAAGCGTGTTCTGGGATAATTGCGAAACTATACTAGTACTCTTGGTCTTAGTTGTCTGTAAAGATCAAAATCTTTCAAACGATTTCGCGAATGTGTCTATGGCACAAGATAATGTGGGATAAACAACGGGAAAATAAAACGAAATGAAATATTGGTATAATTTTTCAGTTAGTTTGGGGAAATCCTTCGGTGCTTTGATTGATTGAGGGGTGTGTACGGGGTTTTAAAAATGTATATATAATGATTAGGACGAAACCAAAACAAACACTGACTATTAGGATTGAAAGCAAAACAGGCACATATGTTGCTATTCGGGCGAAATACTCTCTCTCGAAGTTCTATTAGACATTACAACATTGACCCACTATGTTCTATACCAGATCTTATTCGAGACATTCATTTTTGATTCAACTGCGCCGTCGATATAAAATACATTTCCAAACAATCTATTTAAAATACTTACGTTTTCACAGGAACTATTTTCATTTACCAATAATTTTACTTCAACCTTTAACAATGGCATTTTTTGTAACTCTCGTGGGTACATTTATTTATTAATTCAACCATTAATGTCATTATTTCTTTTCAGGGACGGAAAAACCATTGATAACAGCAAAGGAGAGCGTGCTGACAGCAAGGATTATTGAAAAGGGACTGGAGTCATGGAGAAATAAAACAGTTGCATATTTTTAGCGTGTCTTCCCGAATTATGAATACACATTATAATAATATCAATTGTCAATTGTTCCCAGCTGATATTACCCAACTTAAAATTGAAATGATTATAGAAATTTTATTTCTTTTGTAAAGGTAGAAGATGCTACAAATGGAAGCATGTATCAAATTTTCAATCATTGGATTTATTATCCGCTTTGTCATTTCTAGAGAATTGCATTGTCAATTTTTCCCAGCTGATATTACCCAACTTAAAATTAAAGTGATTATAGAAATTTACTTCTTTTGTAAAGGTAGGAGATGCTACAAATGGAAGCATGTATCAAATTTTCAATCATTGGATTTATTATCCGCTTTGTCAGTTCTAGAGAATTGCATTTTCTTATTTATTTTCACGGTTCAGATTGAAATGTGTAGCCAACTGCATAAAATTATGCCTTAAATTTTAAAAAGGTGCTTTCCGCTGGTCTAGACAGGGTCAATTAATAATTTAACCTTCAAGTTAAAATGTTTGTAAAGAAGGTTGAAATAAGTGTCAAAAATGCACAGGTGTGTTTTTTGTTCAGAGTTGTCGACCTTGGGTTATTCATGTTTGATGGGAATAAACCCAAAGCATATATTTGAAAAATATATATATGTATACAAGTTTGAAATAGAAATTTCCAGGTATATCTACATTCTTTATAACAGATATTTAAATCTAAGTTCATCTGGATATGAAATTAAAAAATTCTTAAAACTTTTAGTGTATGCTGTTTGTTTCACAGATATAGGTAAGGCATTCTTAATTGGAAACACATAAAATACAATGGACTTTAACGTCTTACTGTTCTGCTCTGACTGGACTAATGACTAATAAAGGCAGACATACGTCATACAGTGTGCTATGAGGAAATTTTACCACAACAGCGGCACTTCCCTTATTTCGAATTCCAACTGCCAAGACAAGACAAATAACTACAGACATTGCAAGCAATAACCAATAACTATCAAATCATGATTCAGGCTTTACTCAAAAAATGAAAAACAAAGCACAATAGAAATAATGCGACCAATCTTGACGGCGATCGTCTCCCAGATGGCGTTTGTAAACAAGAATTCCATTGGAAGGTTTTGTCATAACCATTCGCTTTTGATGACAATGTGGCCGTGGTCTTATGTTTATCCTATTATTTTATGTCATTTTGGTAATAAATAACCATGTTTTAACAAAACAGCTTTCCTTATGTCACAAATAAATACCAGACATACAGACAGCTTGAATTTCTCAAAAACAATGAAAAGAAAAAAACACAGAAAGCCATTAAAGCAGTTGATATATTGACTGACCGACGTATTAAAAAATAAAATTGATTATAACAATCTGCAAATAGCCCTGTTTATAAAATGGCAGATTATTAAAATAGGTCCATATTTATGAGAAAGTAATTATTTCTACAACAATGTATGTTCTGATATTCTAGTTATCTGTCTCTATCACCCAAATTCAGCAAATAATAAACCCAACCTAATGTTGCCAAATACTATCCAAATATTACCCGAAATTATCAATTGATAACCTAATACTATCATCAAATATCAGTACATTTACTACAAAGAATATGCGATGGAGGTCAGAGCAGTTGGTGCTGAAAAGTCAGAACATGCACCCAAGGACAAAATAGACCCCCCCCCCACACACACACACACACACACAAACACACACCAATTAAATTTAATGTTCTTTCTAGTCTCTTTGACTGGCTTTAACCCTTTCATAAATTGTCGTTGTGCTACCAATGATGTTGCACAATTTGCAACGCCTTTCCCAAAAGCAAGTATGAGGTTCGCCATGTTACCAACTTCTTATTATGTTATATGTCTGTCTCAAAATCATGAATATTCATCAAAACCTACCAGATAATGCAATTTCAAACCCTTTGTTTGCTAGATCCTATGCAATATGATTATTTTGCATACCTCTAGTATTATTATTATTATAATAATCATTATTATTATTATTATTATTATTACAGCATATTTATAGTGCGCCCTTTCATATAACATGTTTAAGGGCACTTTACAAAGTGACAATGTAATTATAAATAAACAAGATTATGGACATGTTAACGATTGTATACAGAGTCAGTTAAAAGCCTGATTAAATAAATGTGTTTTAAGTTGTTTTTTAAAAGAATATAGAGATGTACAACATCTTAAACTAAATGGTAGATTATTCCATAAAACAGGTGCTTGATAACTAAACGAGCGCTGACCATAAGAGACTAGTTGAACAGTTTTGGACTTTAAAAGAAGTTTATCTGATATACGTAATGTTCGGCCAGGTGTATAAAGTTCTAAAAGATCTGAGAGGTAAACAGGAGCTAAATTATTTAAACTTTTAAAAGTAAGTAATAAAATCTTAAAATCAATTCGATACTTAACAGGTAACCAGTGTAAATTATATGAAACAGGAGCGAATTTCTTAGTTAAAGTAACAAGTCTAGCTGCAGAAGTCTGTACTTTTTGTAATTTATCTATAAGCTTTAAAGGTAAACCAAGTAAAAGTGAAGTCAAATTATCTAATCGAGAGGTGACCAGAGAATTAATAAGTACGGTTACAAATTTACGTATTTTACCTATATTTCTGGTATTAAAATAGCACAATTTAGAAAGTTCTTTGATATCCATTTTCTAATCTCACTAATACAGTTCTCAAGTTGCAATTTTGATAAATTGAAAGAAGATGGACAATTAGGTGTAAATGAACTACATAATTGAGTATCATCGGCATACAAATGAAAGCTGGGACCATTTTTTCTGACAATATTACCTAATGGTGACGTATAAAGGGTAAATAAAATCGGACCAAGAACAGAACATTGAGGAACCCCAGATGACAAAACAAATTCAGACGACGATTTACAACTAACTAAAATAAACTGTTTCTACCCACAAGATAGCTTTCTAAAAGACTTAATCTTAAGTTTGAGACAGGTTTGTAATTTTTAAAAACATTAGGATTCAGTGTAGACTTTTTAATCAAAGGGGTAAATTCGAATCATGTTTTTCAATAAGGAACTAATACCTCGCATGAATTATACTCAAATCTTCAAAGCCCCCAGGACCCGAGTTCACAAAGCATTCGCAGACTTAAGTTAAGCGTTTACTCAACTTTCAATCACTGTTTATATATATATACTAAGCAGCAAAAGAAACGTCAGGTTGGTATGTTACTCCGAATAGACGCATTGCATAAAACCTGCCAAATTTTTTTATTGGATATTTGTGACTACATCTCCAACTTTACCTGAGCAATAAGGCTCCTTCCCAAACAGAGAACTGAACTCAGGTAATGTTCTCAAAAACGCAACCTGACTTCTGAGATGGTAATGTGTTCTCCATGATTTTCATGTAACTCATACTGCACGTGCTGTTCACCGGGACCTGCCCTATAAAATGCACCCCCATACCTGGTTGAATCATTCACACTACGTCAACAGCATGCCACGACTCACGACAGCTCAGAGGGACCAACCGCTTGGGAGACTCGACACTGGCACACTGCCCAAGCCGTTGCCTATCACCTCCCGGTCAACGTTTTAGGGCCACCAACACCCCGGATGATCGCCCCGAACTGGTAGACCAAGGGTTACCACAAGGCGACAAGGCCGCCATGTTGCGCGACAGCACGTTCAAAATATCTTCACACAGACATCTGAGATAGCACGTCAGAGAGTTGGAACGCATGGAAGACCCATCAATACCGATATAGGGCGCCAACGTCTCACCAGAGAGAACATCAATTGCCGTAGAACTTACCGTGAACCGATCCTCACCCCTCGCCATCGACGTGAACGTCTACAGAACTGGCGACACAGGCAATGGAGAACTGTTCTGTTCACAGGTGAAAGAGAAAGAGAGAAATGGGGTTTAACGTCCACTAGGTCATTTTGGGACTAACATGGTTTAATTTATATTTCAATAATTCGCTTGCGCGTAGGGATCTTTAGAAGTGGGAGTAAACCGGAGGACCCGGAGAAAACCCACGAGGTTGGACAGGCGACCCTACTCCTTGTCACGTACAACCGAGGAATCGAAACCCCGCCAGTTGACTCAATGGCAGACCCTATGATACAGCGCGCGCGTGCTAACCATTCGGCCATCCAACCCCCCTGTTCACAGATGAAAGTCGGTATTGCGTACCCACTGCAGATGGCAGGACCAGAATATGGCGTCGACGTGGCCAGCGTTATTCTGACCAATGTGTCATAGAACGAGACTTATGGGGAGGTTCAAGCATAATGGTTTGGGGTGGAATCGGCATGAACCAGAGTGGGTCCTGTGGTGTTCCAAAATCTTGGTCCAGGCAGAGGAGGTGGCATCACAGCAGTGCGCTTCATCGATCAAGCTCTCAGACCCCACGTCATACCACATTTTGCACGTCATCGAAACAACGTTTTCCAGCATGACAACGCCCGTGCCCACACCTTACGTCGTACCGAGGCCAAACACAGCCGATGGATTGCGCCAGGCTTTTCTGAGAGTGTGGTTCCAGATATCAATGGCGTTCATCAATCGTCTGGTCCACTCTATGTATAGACGCTGCGCTGCTGTTATTGGCGCTCGCGGTGGACACCCCAGATACAAATGTATAGACTGTATACAGACTCTAAACCTTCTCGTAATATCTTGGAATTGTGATGAATAAATCACTAATGTGTCAACATACTGTTCACAAAAAATTGCTTTGATCCATTTAGTAAGTCCATTTAGTAAGTCGTTTTCTAGAATGATTTGATTAAAGTGACTCTCTGTTTTTGAAATCGTACTGAGGGTGGGTTTTTTGATCCATTTAGTAAGTCCATTTAGTAAGTCGTTTTCTAGAATGATTTGATTAAAGTGACTCTCTGTTTTTGAAATCGTACTGAGGGTGGGGTTTTCTTCTTTTTTTTGGGGGGGGGGGGCTGTTTTGGGGTTGTTGTTTTGTTTTTTTGACTGTTTAGTATTTTTATGAGAAATATCTTTTAGATCCAGAAACACAAAACCTTAAACACATTTTTTTATTGATGTATTTGAGACATTAAAACAATAAAAGTGTTATAAAGGGCTATAATTTTAGTTCAAATAAGGCAAACAACTTTGAGTAAATTCTTAACTTATATCTGAGAATTCTTTGTGAACTCGGTACCTGATGAAATCAGCCCATTAATTCTAAAAAGCATATCGTCCGCCATTGTAATTCCATTAACTCGTCTATTCAAGCATTGTCTTATAACTAAACAACCTCTAGACATCTGGAAAATTTCACAGGTCACTGTGGGTGATCCACAATTACCAAAAAATAAATTATCGCCCCATTTCATTAAGGTGCACTATTTGTAAGATCTTTGAAAAAATTATCTTTAAACATCTATACAGTTTTATTAAATAATATGAATTATTGTCTAAACATCAGTCAGGATTTAAAAAAAAATATATGATTCAACAGTAAACCAACTGCTTGAGATATATAACATAATCATAAGTAATCTAGATAAACGAAAAGAGCTTAGATTTGTATTCTGTGATATTTCTAAAGCGTTTGATAAAGTCTGGCACAAGGGAATTATATAGCTGCAACAGTATGGCATTAGTCGAAATGTATGTGATTGGATATGCATCTATTCAACAGGTCATAAACAAAGTGTTGTTCTTGAAGGCTTTGGCTCACCATATTTTGTCTGTTGAATTCGAAATTCCCAAGAGATCAATGCTAGGCTCTTC